AGTTCCAGCACATTTTTACCGTTCGCTGTTGGCTAAATAAAATTATCTTTTATGATCGTTTCAAAAATTTTTTAAAAATTTGTGTAATCCAATTCCATGTAATTGGTATGGAGTAGGTCAATTTATTTTATCTTATCTCTCTGAAAATACCAATGAACTCGATCGCAGTCCATCGAAACATTTTACAAAATAAATTTTAATTTTTTAAAGAAATTTCTTATTTTTGCAATGCTCTTATAAAAGTCTATTAACGACTCTCTCTCTAATCTCTAATTCTATATATATATATATATATATATATATATATAAATTTATATATATGATATATATTTCTAAAACATTACAACAATTTGACTAGTATATATATATATATATATATATATATATATAAATTCACACACACATTCTGCGTTATTTTGTTTAAAGAAAATATGTGTTTGTCTGTAATAACGCGATTTTATATATATATATCGAAATGATATTATATATATATATATATACTGTGTGTCTATAAAGTTCGTCTGCACTTTAAAAAATTATCACTTTATTTGTATTTACGATAGAAATAATTTGTAAAAATGATTAGAAAGATGTAAATCTATATTTTTTCAGGTTTTATTGAAATTTTATTTAAGTTTCCACATGTCCTCCATCATTAGCAATACAAAGGGTAATACCATTTTGCAGTTCACGGAAAACATTTGCCAACTGATTTACAGTAATGCCTGAAATCACATTAGTTATTTTAGCTATACTTAAAACTAGGTACATTAAACTTTATAACATTTTTTACAGATTATTTCTATCTCAAATACAAATAAAGTTATAATTTTTTAAAGTATACACGAAATTTATGGACACTCTGTATATATATATATATATATATATATATATATATATATATATATATATATATATATATATATATATATATATATATATATATATATATATATATATATATAATAAAAATAATATATATAATGCATATGTTTATGTATGCCTAGTGTATGTATGTAAGTTATTTAAGCTATTTTATGCCATAACGCATGGATTCATTAACAGAACATGTCAGCGAGTAAATGTTTATATATTTTATATTGTGTTTGTGTTTGTCTGTTTTTTTCAAATCATAAACAAACGTGTGTCTATGTTCATTTTTTAAGTATACCCCAAACAAACACGGATAATATTTTTGTATTTAAACATAGTCAAACAATCATAAATAAATCTAATTTTAAAAAAAAAAGCATTCAGTTTGTCTGATGATCTCATTCTTTGAATATTAAATTGAGTCACAAACTCATATACATAAAACGTTTATATATATATATATATATATATATATATATATATATATATATATATATATATATAATATATATATATATATATATATATATATATTCTTTGTTTTAAATATATAACTACATATTTAACTAGAAAAAATCAACGGAACAGAAATTTTTTGGACCATATAATATATTCATATATAATTTTCTATTTAAAACAGACATTTTTAAAAATTAATTTTTCTTCTACAGATTTTTTTTTTTATTTTTATATAGAATTTGTTGATGTCTGATAAGATTTTAGATATTTTCTTTTTATTTTTCAAATGAAATGTAATTCTATTATTAATAAAAATAATTTTTTCTTTTAATGTATTTATATTTATTCTTTTTCAAGATATAGAAAATAATATCAACATTCATAAATTTATACGTACACAAGTTCATACGTATATATATATATAAAATATATTTGTTTGTTCTATACATATTAAAACATAAATATATATATACTAAAAAATATCCACATTACCAAAAAACAATATAAAAATGATTACTTATTATTTACATTGTTCAGACTTTTTGTCCTCAATTTTATTTATTTCATAATCAAGACGTTTTTTATCTATGTACACTTTTTTTTTATCTTCAGGATCTATCGGAGATCATATTTTCTATGAAAATGTCTCGAACCTTCAATGCCAGTAAATGCTGGCTTTAATACTTTTATTATAAACAGAGCATTTCCTTAAATAGAATGTATCTATAAAAGAACATTTATACTCATAAAAAAAAATTATCTTAATATATATATATATTTATATATATATATATATATATATATATATATATAAAAAATACTGTTCATTAAATTAAATGGATAATACCATATTAACTAACGATAATTATCCTGCTATTTTTCTCAAAATTTTTGTGAGATATAAAAACCAAGCAAAATTTTTAATGTTTTCGTAAATCAATATGATATTGTTTTGTTTCTTCAGAAAAAATCATTATTTACTTTTTCAAAGATTTTAATTACCACCAATCAAACAATTTTTTTATCAAAAAAAAAACTGGCGGAATGTTTTTAGGGGGAATTATATAGAACAATTTCAAAAGATTTTGATATCAATACGTTTGGTTTTTTCATTATTTATAATGGGCATTGCGTCGTTTTTCATCTTCATCAAATATTGCCGATGCAATATTTAGATATTTATAATATTTATCAATATATTTGAATGAAAAAATTTGCTTCTGTCGGAATATTTTTAGTCCGATAAGTTTGACAAAGATAATCTTATTTCAACAATTGTTCAATAACTGTTTTCAGTTTGTTAACTTGGGAATAAAAGTGGATTTTACATTTTAAATTTTTAAAATTTTAAAATGCCATTAAATATATTTTAATTTTTGTTTAGAACCTTCCATCAATTTGGTTTATATCATAACTCTCATTTAAGAAAGTTTCGCCTACAGTAATTATTTATTTTCTACTGATATGATATTTTTTCCAATTTATATATATATATATATATATATATATATATATATATATTAAATATATAAATACAAAACAGCCAAGAATAGAGAGAGAGATTTTGTATTGAATAAAGGCACGGAAATAAATTTATAGCGGCTTTTTTTGAGGAATCGCAGAGCCGAGTTCGAATTCCATTTTCGAATCCATTACATTTTCTTATTATTATAATGAAATGGGAAAGATATAAATCCTTCTTCTTCTTCTCCAGTATGGGTAAATAACAGGATAGACCGGGTTCTATAGCCTTTGATAACAACTTTTTTAGGAGAAGGACAACTCTGAATTCAAAAACTGCGGAGGGTCGTTTTCGAAACATTGAATTTTTCAGTGCAATTGGTTTGCTGTAAATCCCAAAAAAAAACCTTTAAAGGATCCTGCATAATTTTTCAATATTATAATCAAATCTTTGTGCTAAATTTGGGTAATTTTAAATAACTAGCATCTGCTTGAATTAAAATAATTGGATCAGAAATGTTCTGTAAATGGGGTTATTATTCAACTTTATCAATTTTTCAAAAATACTGATAGGAATGTTGGTTCTCTGTGTTTTGCCAACAGTTTTTTGTCAGAATCTATCTTGCATATTTAAAAATCATGTAATATTCGTCCGATAGATAGATAGATAAATAGATAAAAAATATGAACAGAATGAAATAGATAAATAGATGAATATGAACAGACTGAGATTTTTTATAGATAGATAGATAGATTACTTCTATAGATAATTATGAACATAAATGAATAGATGTTTTGCTATGATAATAATATAAATTATAGATAGATAGATAGATATTTTTAGATAATAGATAATATAGACAGATAGATAAAAATAAATGAGATATGAACAGAATGAGATAGATAGATAGATAGAATATGAAATAGAATGAGATATATAGATAGATAGATAGATAGATAGATAGATAGATATGAAAGAATTTAGATAGATAGATATGAACAGAATATAAATAATTTAGATAGATAGATAGATAGATAGATAGATAGATAGATTTTGAACAAATAAAAAAGAATGAGATAGATAGATAGATAGATAGATAGGATATGAACAGAATATGAAAGAGATATAGATAGATAGATATGAACAGAATGAGATAGATAGATAGATAGATAGATAGATAGATATGATAGATAGAAGATATCAATATTTTAATGTTTAGATAGATAGATAGATAGATAGATAGATAGATAGATAGATAGATAGATATGAATATGAACAGAAAATTTAACAGAATGAGATTGATAATGTAAACAGAATGAGATAGATAGATAGATAATTAAATAGATAGATAGATAGATAGATAGAACCATTAAATAGAACAGAATGAAATTAGAAGATAGATAGATAGATAGATAGATAGATAGATAGATAGATATATATTAGATATATATATATTATGAAAAGAATGAAATAGATAGATAGATAGAATAGATAATAGATAGATAGATAGAATAGATAGATAGATTAACAGAATAGATAGATAGATAGATAGATAGATAGATAGATAGATAGATAGATAGATAGATAGATATGAACACAGAATAAGATAGATAGATATGAACAGAATATAAAGATAATGAGATAGATAGATAGATAGATAGATAGATAGATAGATAGATAGATAGATATGAACAGATGAGATAGATAGATATAGATAGAATATAAATGAAATGAGATAGATAGATAGATAGATAGATAGAATAGATAGATATAGATAGATAGATATATAGATATGAACAGAATGAGATAGATAGATAGATAGATAGATATTAATAACAGATGAGATAGATAGATATTATAGATAGGAAACATAAGATAAATAGGATAAAATAGATATATAGATAGATGTACAACAGTTTTTGCATAGATTATTTACAATTATTATCACAAAAAATGTCAAGATAGATTTAATAGAAGATAAATAAAAAAGATTAAATTATTTAGATAATATTATGTTAAATTGATTACAAAAATAGTTATGAGGATAGATGCGATTTTTCAGAATATTCAGCAAAATAATCGTAAAATGAAGCAAAAACAAAATATTTTCATATATTTGTTACATTAAGATTATAGATTTAGAAAGCCGTATTGTGTCAGAGTTAATCACGATAATGATAACAAAAACTCATTTCAAATAGATAGATTATAGTTTAAATATGAAATATAGATAGATAGATAGATAGATGATAGATAGATACAACAGACTGAGATAGATAGATAGATAGATAGATAGATTTAGAAAAATTGGATAGATAGATAGATAGATAGATAGATAAATAGATAGATATGAAACAGAATAAGATATATATAATAAATAGATCGATTTAGATAGATAATAGATACATTGGGAACAGAGATAATAAATATAAATAGATAGATATAAAGAGAGATAGATAGATAGATAGATATGAACAGAATAAAATAACTGCATATTAACGATTAATAAGAAGAGAATTATATATATATATATATATATATATATATATATATATATATATATATATGTGTGATGCGATAATAGATATATATTTATGTGATGTGTGTGTATAAACAGAATGAAAATAGATTGATAGATAGATGTTGAATAGACAGTCAAACAGCTAAACAAATAATAGATATAATATATATCATAGATAGATAGATATATATATAGATATGAATAGATAGATAGATAGATATATCGATAGATAGATAGATAGATAATGAACAGATGAGATATATAGATAGATAAAAACAGACACAATGTAGATAGATAGATAGATAGATAGATAGATAGATAGATATAAACAGACTAGAGATAGATAGATAGAATATGAACAGAATGAGATAGATATTTAGATATATAGATAGATAGATAGATAGATAATGAAAAGAGATAGATAGAAGATAGATAAATTTAGATAGATAGATAGATAGATAGGTGATTAATCGGAACAGGTTTATTGTCTATAGTTATTTATGTTTTAAATGTTGAATGCATTTGGTCTTTTTTTTATCATTTTTATCATGTCCGCTTTGGTGTTTGTAAATGCGCATGAAAAATGTTGGTTTAAATGGGTGTTTTTATTTTTATTTTTTTCCTGTGTTTGCATTTTTCCATATGCTCGGTTTCTTGTGTGTGTGTGTGTGAGAGAGAGAAAAGAGAGAGATTTATGTTTGGTGAGAGAGAGAGAGAGAGAATGAAAGTTTTTATTTGCCGGGAACCAGATATCGAAATGACCATTGTTTAATGCTGACGAGAAACTCTGTAATCTATCGGGAGGACTCAGAACCTGTAACAAGAGATGATAAAAGCCTACAAGTAAAAGAGTAAGTGCCGTCATAATAATATTAAAGTGTAATAATAATAATAATAATAATAATAATGATAATAATAATATATAAGTTGTCTCACCATTATTTTGATTAAGACAAATAGTAATATATTAAGTTGTTCAGAAGATAAAGTCCGATTTTAGAATCAACTTTTATTTGTAAATTTAATGTATTTAAATCAGTCAAAATAGGGACCCTGAAGATCAACCCATTTTTGCCATCGAGGTACAAGATTCTTTGTGCCTCTGCAATAAAATTCTAAAGATTTTCTTTAATCACAAACATATTTAGCAGTTTCTAATCTTCATTGCAATGATTTTTATGAATCTATCTATCTATCTATCTATCTATCTATTTATCTATCGTATCCTCAGTATGAATATCTATTCATCTATCTATCGCATCTCTGTTTATATTCATCCATCTATTTTGCAGTTCCCATTCATCTATCTATCTATCTATATTTAGTACCTTTGCATCTATCTATTTATCGCATAAAATTTATCTATCTATTTATTATTTTATCTATCTTTGACATCTTTTTTATTTTCTATTTATCTATCTATCATATGTTTATCTATCTATCTATCTATCTATCTATCGCAGTCTGTCTATCTATTATTTATCTATCATTTTTCTATCTATCTATCTATCGCAGTCTGTTTATCTATCTATCTATCTATCTATCTATTCATCTATCTATCTATCTATCTATTCATCTATCTATCTATTTATCTATCTATCTATCTATCTTTCAGTTCTATCTATCTTCTATTTTATTCATCTATCTATCATCAATGTTTACTTTATTCATTTCATCTATCTATCTATTTTCATTCATCTATCTATCTATCTTTTTCTAGTCTATCTATCTATCTATCTATCTAAAAATCTATTATCTATCTATCTATCTATCAGTTTATTTACTATCTATCTATCTATTTTTAAATATTTTTTCTTAAAAAATATATTTTTTTTTTTATAAAAAATATAATATTTTAAATTTTTTTAATAAAATCTAATATATATATATATATATATAATTTACTTAATATCTCTTTTAAGTTTTTTTTCCATAAAAATAAAAATCTTTTATATTTATTTTCAAAAATTATAACATTTAATATGTCATCTATCTATCCACTATCTATCTATCTATCTATTTTTCTATCTATCAATTTTTAGGAAATTTCTGTTTACCTATTTATCTTTTTTTTTATCAGAATAAAACGTCTGAAAAATCATCTTTATATTTTCATAATGCAATAGATCTTTAAATTCTGACAAAATATGGACCTGAACATCTAACCTTTTCTGCCATCGAGTTACAAGATTCTTTTTTGCCCTAACCTTTTTTTCTAAATTGTTTTCATAAATTCAAATCCAAAATCATTTAAAAACAGACAACATTCATCTATTTGAAACATTTATCTATCTATCTATCTAATATCTATCTTTTTTTGGATTTTATCTATCTATCTATTCAAATCTATCATAATTATCTATATAATATATATATTTTTTAATTTCTCATCAGTTTGTTGTCTTCTATCTAATATCTATCTATCTATCATCTTATCGCAGTCTGTTTGTATCTATCTATCTGGCTTATTCTATCTATCTATCTATCTATCTTCTTACTACTTATTTCAGTCTATTCATGTCTGTCTAACTACATTTTAGGTTGTTCGGATGATTAATCGTCTTCAAATTTTCAGAATCGATCTGTTTAGTTGTGAATGAATGCATTTAAACAGTGTTTAAATCAGTTAAAATAAGAAATATGAACATTATATTATTTTTATCATCATAAGAATAAGATTGAACCATTGAAAATCCGTGAATGCAATTTCTGAACCTTATTTGCAAATATTGAATCAGCGTAAAAAAAATTCAAGATCCTTGAAATAAAATGGTAGAAATTGGACGAGACATCATATATATGGTGGGTGTATCAAAATTCCAAATCCCACGTTGGTGACCTTCCGCAGTGCCATCATGGCAACATTAGCACCGGCATTGTCATGAAACAGAATTTGGACCTCGTCGATAAACCAGTGCTGGTCGCATTTGCTTAACTGAATGTGCATTTCATCCAGTTGCTGGCAGTAAACATCTGCAGTGATGCTCTGGTTAGATTCCAGAAACCACCAGATTGTCACCCTAATTTCCGGTATGCCAAGTGCTGTATGCCAAATAGGAAACCTTTTTCATCATGGCAACATGAGGCCGAACATTTTCATGAGCATTGTTGGTGTAATTTTAATTTTGGAAAGTATTTGGTACTTCGCCGTGATCAAGACATGGAGCTGAATGTTTGCAGTTGTAATAAAGGATCTATTTGTATCCAGAAATGACAAAAATAGGAAGGAAATTTTTTTAGCCAAAGAACCATTATCCTAAGTCGATGCAATTTATATTTTAGATAAATTTCATGTCCTTCATATAATCAAGATATATGGCCGATATTAATCCAAAGAATGTTTTCAATTGGAAAAAATATTCCAAAAGGAAATCCAAAGTTCAGATAAAAAAGAAAAGACACTATGGCAAAGAACTATATCCTTTACGAAAGTTCAAATGGAACCCATTTAACATTGTTTTACACGTAAAATTTCTTGTCATAATCAATCCATTATATTTACTCGAAATATATTAAATTTTGTTTAATTTACCAGTTTTCAAATGAAAGATTTTAATCGATCAAGAAAGACAATTTAAATTTCATAATTCAAAACCGAACACAAATAGCAAAGCATCAAACTCCATACTTTCCTGAGTTCAATAAAACCATATATCCATTGTTTCTTAATGAAAGAAATTTTGAGGAATTATCCAATCCAACTATCATATAAATAAAACGTTAAAGTGGTTTGTTTATTTCAAATATTTGAAGATTATAATGTTTTATTGTAAATAACGGATAAACATCCTATAAATTTAAACTTTGATCCTCAACATTTTAATCCCTAATAATGTTGTTTAATAACCAAATACCGCCCTTTCCGATCATAAATAAACGCATCATTTTTTTTGTTAGATAAAATTCAGCAGACTGTTTCAGGAAACCCTATATTTGTAATCATGAACTCAATAAATAAAGAAAAAAATTTATTCTATTTTCATTTCAAGATTTAGTTTATAATAAATTTTTATTAAATTCAAAAATATTGATATAACATTTAACAAAGATACATTTTAATATTTAATAATTATTCTAAATATACATTATTGTTTCGTGGAATACATACGTAGTAAATACAGGATTAAAATGATTTTTGGCCTTCTAATTTTCTCCCCATTTTTATTTTGCACTTTTTAAAATTTATAACTTCATTTAATTTGCGAGGAAATAATCTATGAAAATTTTAAAAAAAAAATGTACCTAGTTTTTAAAACTAGAAGAAAAACTAATGTGATTTATTACTGTAAATCAGTTGGAAAATCCCGTTTTTTTTTTTTTTTGTATTGCTAATGATGGAGGACATGGAAACAAATAAAATTTAAATAAAACCTTTTTAAAAATAGATTTACAATCTAATTTTTAAAATTAACGCATGGCAAATGGCATAAAGGTAATTTTTAAAAGTGCTACACGAACTTTATGGACACCCTGTAAACGAAGTATGAATTAACGAAAAGGAAACTTTAATCATTAGGAATGAATAAAATATTTGGGTATAACTTTTATAATATATTAGAACTCAATTAAAATATTTATTCTAAAATCGGAGATTATTTTCCGAACAACCTAATCCTATTTACCAGTCTATACACAAGATGCGTCATTTATTTGAGAACAACATTCTGAAAGAAATTGGTATAAAGTTAGGGAAAAGGACACTTTAATTATTAGGAACGGGCAAGATATTTTCGTGCAGCTATTATAATAGTATATTGGAACACAATTAAAATGTTCATTCTAAAATCGTCCTCCATCACATTGATCTTCAAGACTCGTATCCCCGCTGCGGAACTCCAGAAACCAGTGCCGTACTGTCTGATAAAACGTAGCTATCTTCGCTACATGCTCTGTTAACGTTTGAGAAGATTTATGACCAGGCTTGGACACATGGCAAAAAAAAGTAAACGCATTTCTTCTTTTTTTTATGTTCAAGATGAACATTAGAAAATATTTTAAGTTAAATTCTGAAAGAGATTGATATAACATTAACAAAGATGGAATCTTAATTATTAGTAAGGAGTAAAATATTTTTGTGTGATTATTATAACATATCAGAAATCTGTTGAAAGGTTTATTCGAAAATCGGAGCTGTGTGACATGGAGCTGGAAATGTCGCCTATATCATTAGCTCTTGTGGAATACATACGTAGAATGAATACAGGCACGGCCATGATAGAGTGGCCTACTGTCTGCATTTATCCCTATATAAAAAGTATGAAATTGATGTCGTCAATAAATTGCACCCTCACAGACCAGAGAAGCTGATCGAAAACGATCACGAATAATAATAATAATAATAATAATAATAATGTTGTTGATAATGATAATTACAATAATAATGCTAATATTGACTATGATGTTGATAATAATAATGTTGATGATAATGATGATAATAATGTTGATAATAATACAGAAATTGTGAATGAAAACATGTCAAGTCAAGATCTTTTGGGATTTCAGCATCAAAACATACAGCATCGTCGAGGTTAGCAAGCCAGAAATCGCCGCCAAAATTGGGGAGGTGATTAGGGCGTTTAAGAAAATGCTCAGTGGAAAATATCATGAAGCCATTTCTGACCTTAGGTCTCTGGTTAGGACCCGGAAGGAAATGTGTATACAACAGAAATCAAAAAAAAAAAATATAACAAATATTGATGATAATGATGATGACAATAATAATGTTGATAATGATGATGACAATATAAATGTTGATAATGATGATGACAATAATAATGTTGATAATGATGATGACAATATAAATGTTGATAATGATGATGACAATAATAATGTTGATAATGATGATGACAATAATAATGTTGATAATGATGATGGCAATAATAATGCTGATAATAATAATGACATTAATAATGTTGATAATGATGATGAGAATAATAATGCTTATAATGATGATGACAATAATGCTAACAATGTTTATGATGATGATGATAATGATGATGACGATAATGATGATAATACCCCCGAAAAGCTGATTGAAAACGTTCAAGTCAAAATCTTGTGGATTTCATAATAATAATAATAATAATAATAATGAAATCGAAATCTCCAAAATGTGATGCATGGGAACATCAAGAATCCCTGTTAGAGTTGAAGCCCTCGGATTGGTTGGAAAAGATTCCAGTAGAGTCATTGAAAGGATCCCTGGAAACCCATGCCTAAAAAAAATAAAAAAGTAAAAATTTCTCATGAGTACAACCCACACCTTACGAAGGGCTTTATGTAAAATATGTGTTGTTGTTTTCCTTTTTTTTAATTGGTCAGTGTAAAATGTCATGATGTAATTTCTGACCTTAGGTCTCTGGTCGGGACCCGGAAAGAAATGCTTACACACCAGAAATCAAAGGAAATAATAATAATAATAATAATAATAATAATAAAATAAAAATTAAAGAACCGTTATCCTATTTGAATTTTCAGATGAACCTTACTTAATTCTTGAGTTAATGATAGGATATGCTCATGGCGAGTTCTATGACAATAAAATATCCGTAGAAATTTCGCTATCACCTCGTTAATTATTTGAGCTTAACAACTTTAACAAAACATTGCAATGACAATCATAAATATGAATGCTGGTCGATATTTTAAGAAGTAAAGGGGTACAAATGAAAATACTTGAAATTGACAAATATTTTTTTTTTCCATTTCGCCGAAACGGGCGTTAATTACTTCTATCTTCCCCGAATCATTTCACTCTATGCAAGGCAATATAGCCGCTACGACGCAAGAATAAAATAATTATACGCGAATAAAAAACAGAAAGGTAAGTGTTTAATGAAGAGAAAGGATAGTAAAAAAACAAAAAAAAAACAGGGTCTATGCAGAGAGATGATGGAGACTGACATTGCATTTAGATTTTTGAAAATCAAAGTTAAATTGAAAGCAAGAGGCTACAAGTGCACAAGAGGATACAAAAATACAAGAGAAGAATCCGTTAGCATAGAACCTACGGTTACTTTCCGCAATTTCAGCTCTAAAATGACGAGAACTGTCTGCCAGTCTAATACTGCACTGAAATTTGAATGCCGTGGTGCCAAAGAGGGAATCTTATTAGAATAGCATGAAAATGTTTATGGAAAAGGCAGAGGGAAGCTGCCGTGTGGCGTAGGGAAGGCGACTGAAGTAGAGCTTTGAAAGGCCAATGAAGTATACTTATATGGAGATTATTATTAAAATAAGAATCTCTCTTAACTCTTTGAGCCAGTCGTTCCCGAACAATTTTAACCCTTCTGCCTGAGCTCCTGAGTCAAAATTCACAAATAATTGGTATGTAATGTTTCACGATAGATATAAAAATAATTACATGCGTTTACCCACCGTTCAACCGGTGGCTGGGCATAATGTCATTTTTCTCTAACCACCGGTAAAGCGGTGGTCAGGGCTGAAAGGGTTAAGATTTAATTTCCGGTTCCTTCTAATGTATTTTTCTTTCTCTTTCACTCTCTCTAGCCGCTTGCGTCTTAATGGCTTTATCGCCTTG